ATATATATATATGACTGTTCAGATTGGTACTGAAATAGGAAATATGGGAGGCTCAGAGCATAAACATTTGGAAGAGGGCTGACAAATACAGCATGGCTTGTTACCAAGCTTCTCTCCACCTCCCCCAAAAAAGACACCTCCTCATCCAAAAAAATTGTAGGATTGTTTGGAAAAGGCCATGTCAGTAAAAGTAAAGTACTGACAAATGATGAAAGATGCAAGTGAAGTTTTATGATGTGAATCAACTTGGAGAAAGGTTTTGGTGTATGTAGACAAAAAAAAAAAAAAAAATTCCACATGGAAAAATTCTGACATTTGCCTAACTTTGTGACTCAGTTGGGAATATTATCACAGTAAATTTAGTGTTACATTTAGCAGTGCTAGTGAACTGAATTTTGTTGCTAAACTTGATAGCACGTGAGCCAGTATTACATTAGTAAAAACCACGTCTTTCAAATCAGCTACTCTGTGCAAACAGCCCTGAAGGGAAGATGCATTTGTTTTATGTCCTAATTATGTCAGTCATTTGATTTTAATATTTAGGGTTAAATGGAAGAACAGCAGTTTCAGAAGGAAAAATTGGGAGTAGACAAGAGAAGTTGAAACAATGTATTCAGACACCTGCAGTAAATGATCTCATTTTGAAAGAAGAAAAACAGATGATGATCTAAGAAATATAAGGGTGCAGTGTTCTAATGATGGGATCAGAATTTGGTAGCATAACAGAAAAATCCCTTTATTTTTAGTAAACTACTGCAGGTGCCTGCAGACCAGTGTGCGGTTTTGTTGCTTTGATGCAGTTTATATAAAGTTAGTATGTTTTTGTGCACAATCTTGTATAGAGAGAATAAAGAACAGAGGTTATAAATCATGGAAATTTCATTTTCAGCCACCTGCCTAACTGGATAATAATAAGCCAAATAACCTAATGGTCAGTATTATTTTCACAGCTTAAGGTGATGAAGTTTCAGGATGAGTTAGAGTCTGGGAAAAGACCCAAGAAACCAGGCCAGAGTTTTCAGGAACAGGTTGAACACTATAGAGACAAGCTGCTCCAGAGGGTAAGAAATGTTCTTTATGTTTGGCTATGATTCTGTGATTGGCTTTTATTGACTTTATCAAATGTAAGGTGGCATTAAGTATCACAACACATGGTTCTCGTTAAAATTCTACTGTAATGTCAAACTGCATGTCTAAATCCAAGTGCTTTCTGCAGAGTAGATATAATCTCTCTTTTTAATCAAAATAATGTAGTATTTCACACCCTACAGATGGGTATCATTAGAAGGTATTGAAGCCTTAATGAGGTCACTTCTGGATCTACTACATAAAGCAAACTGTTAGGTGTGGGAAAGGAAGGGGAGAGCTGTCAATTGAAGACATTCATCAGACTTTTCATTTTGGTTTTAGTAATTGATCTGTTGTGCTAAAGGCTTCCAAAGGAAGAGAAATAATAGTATTAAGCAGCATATATGTGCTTCTGATTCTCCAGTGTCTAAGATTTCCTGATCAATTTCAGCTCATACTCTCACCCAAAAGTGAATAATTCTGTACCACTACCATTTTTAGTAGTCCTCTCTGGACTATGAAGTCAGATCGGCTTTAAAAGTAGCATCATGTATGTGATGTCCTGTCACCTTGAATCTTTGAAACATAACGAAAGAACATGTAACCTTCTTTGGACAATGTGTTTAGTGAGACTGAGTGGCAGTTGCTTCTCTAATCTGGTTTCACAGCCTGACAGATCGATGATGGAATTAGGTACTCGTGCAGTTTCTTGGAAGCTAAATACAAATAGGCAGTTTTCACCAGGTGTTTGTTTGTCACTCGTTCTTTGTGTTATTTGGTGCGCAATATTGACTAATTCACTAAAGTAATTCTGCATAGTACCTTGAAGAAAGAAACTTGTAAAAATTAAGAAAGCTGATCTCTGAAGGAGATTTACACATTTGAAGGTTGATGTTAGCAGCTAAGACTTCAATTTTTATGAGTAACTTTCCTTTTAAATGTAGTTGTATCCTAAAACTTCCCACTTCCTCAGTGTTTTCTGTAACTGGAGAAAGAAGTGATTTGTACAGTAAGCACAGAATGTTTAGTGAGACAGTAACTTAAAAAAACAGAAATCGTAATCCTGATAAATTTGAGGCCTTGTGTTGAATTAGTTCAACAAGATTGCAATATTTTAGATTTTTTCGTCATTCTCTTTTCTGTCTTCACTTTCAATGATGAATGTAATATTTAGTTAAGAAATATGTCATGATAATCATAACAGGTGTTCTTTAAAACAATAATAAACCTGTTGTTAAGGGAAAAACTTTTATCTTTTGCTTTAATGCCATAATAAAGTTAGTTTGTATAATAATAATGTAATACTGGTCCTGATTGCATTTCCCATGAACTTGGTGGTTGGTTATCTTTTTTTATATATAATTTGCTATAGAAGAAGCTTTCCAAGAGTAAATTTCCTAGTAGAGTTGTATATTGTTAAGAGAATAAGAACTTATAGCTATTTAAAATATTGTTTAGTACTATTTATCAACATTAAATAATTAGTTATATTATCAAATAAGCTAGGCATATTTTAAGAGCCCATTGATTTTAGTGGAATCTAATAATAGTTTGCAATAGTAGTTATAATGATAAGAGACACAAAATTTTACTGGCAAGTCTTCCATATTAAAAAAATGTGAGACTAGATGAGTAGAGCTGTCCTGGTATTTCCTGCACTATCTACCCCTCCTCCTCTTTTTTTCTTTTTTCCCCTCTCTCTCTTTCTTTCATTTAGCTAAACCACCCTTCTTTGTGTTCTTTATGGGGTATGCAGGGAATATCTATTTATTTTTTGCCATGGAAGGGCTTTTTTTTATGACAATACTGAAAGCAGCACATCTCTATCTCTGTGTTCAGACTTGCTGATGGTTTAGGTTTATTTTTGGGTAATTAATTTTCTAACTATTAGACAAACGAGATGTGCTCATAGTATATATTTTCTTTCAAAATGGTCCTATTGCTATATAGAAATAGACCATATTTGTGGGTGTTTTTGACAGATTAGACATTACTGCAGAATCTTGATCGTATTTTTGTTTTGTCTGTGAATGTTTCGTAGTTATGAGATTATCTCCATTTTCAATCTGGATTAATGAAGATGCATGCATATGTTTTAAGTAGGAAGAGATTCCTGGTATTCTTTCATGTTTAATTTGGTTTAGAAAATTTATTACAGCTGTAACTTTTTCCTGAAATTTGTAAAATGGAAGGCTGTTCGTCCAATTAGACACTCAGACTTTCTCACATAGGGTGACATCTTTCATGTTTTTGTCAGTGTTTGTGTTACAGTAAATGTTTCTGCTGTGTACAGAGCAGTAGTAAAGATTTGAAGAGCGGGTTTAGTGTGACCATTAGTTCCTTTCCAGGTTATGTGCTGTGTTCCTTCAGTGCTCAGTGCTTTTATGCTGTTTGTGATTAGTTTGATTGTCTTTATTAATAATTAGTCATACTTCATCTGAAATCATGAATGTTTCTGATAATTTAGGAAAAAGAAAAAGAGTTGGAAAGAGAACGGGACAGAGACAAAAAGGACAAGGAAAAATCTGAGTCCAGGTCCAAAGATAAGAAGGAAAAGGAGGAATGTACACCAACAAGAAAAGAGAGGTATGGCTTTCCTTGGAGTAGAGGGGATGGGAGGAAAAACCTCACAGTTAGTATCTTTATGTACAGTGGCAGCCTTGAAATTACGTTGTATCATGGATCTTATTTTAAAAGAAAAACACAAAACCACCCAAATAAAAGTGCCACCCAACAACAAAAAACCCCCATGTTTTGGATATTAAAATATGTTTGAAAACTTAAAAGGAATTGTCATTTTTATTCTGCTCCAAGTGACGTACACTTTTGAATAGAATCCCTTTTTGGCTCATTTAGGCCCTGAAGAAACATGGTAAAATAATGCCCAGTTGAAAACAGGGTATATTTAACTAAATTTTAGCAGTAAATTGACTGCAGTGTATTAGTCCGAAAACTGTACTGAAGTCATACCACAAATTATTTGTGGTGGCTTAAATGTTATTAATCTCACAGTGAAAATTCTTCAAAACAACTAGTTTCAGGGTAGTTGTTTGTACTCTCTGATTTTCTAATACTTGTATAGCCAAACTCTTCCACGGTGTTAAGTGCAGATGTGGTAAAATGCTTTGCTTTTCAGGAAACTGTGACGGAATGTTTTTACACTGCAGTAAACAAAGATGAGTCATGGGCCTTATTTTTTTTTTTAAACTGGAGAAAGTCTGGTGCTTGGATTTTTTTTTTTAAGTAATAAAATGCCTGCTGTTTTTTAGTTAATTAAAAGGATCTAATGTTACATTGGCGAAAGAACGTATCTGCAGAAAGGAATCTATTTTCTTAATATACTTTTTTACTTCTCTGTTCGTCTACACGTGTGTACATAACTATCTGCTTTCTTTCCAAAGGAAAAGACGACACAGTGCTTCACCTAGCCCGTCTCGCAGCAGTGGCAGTAGACGAGCAAAATCTCCGTCACCAAAATCTGAACGCTCAGAGCGCTCTGAACGGTCCCACAAAGAGAGTTCACGTTCTCGTTCATCGCATAAAGATTCTCCCAGAGATGTCAGTAAAAAAGCCAAAAGGTAAGCTGGTATCTTCTCTGTTTCAGGTTATAGGAAAGTTAAGTACATAGGTGTGTTTTGGTTGGGGTTTTTTTGAGTTTTTTAGCAGAGCATATTTGATACATGAGTATTTTCTCTCATAATGGACTATACTGCATGTTCCTGGTTAATATCTTCGGACACTGGTGTCTGAAATGTATACGGCCTCCTGCCTTGATAGCTCAAGACTGTTTACTTCTATATTCTTGTTTACCTGTTTACTGATAATTTTGAGAAATATTGCTTTAAATCAAAGCTGTTTTATTATCTTTTTATTTTGAAAGGACACATCTTCTGTAGCCAGTAGATCTTGCAGAATTACAGTGAGCATGCAGTCTTTCACTGATGATTTGCTTACCTGAATCTCCTCTCCCACGGGTTGTTTTTTTAATGGAAAAAACCCCCTAGATTAGATACTGCATATGGGTTTTCATTTCCAAAGTAGGTATTGCCTAATTTCTAGACTGACACAAATATTTGTATCTAATTAATGTTAAACTTGGGGTGATATTTTATTATTGTATTGATACTTTTGTAGTTTATATCTCAGAAGTTCAGCTTCCACTTCTTTTAAAGGTGTAGAATATCTTTTTGATATAAGATTACTCAGACATACTAAGGAAAATATCTTTGATGCTGTTGAAAATTGTAGAGCATATTTACAGTAATTGGATTTTTGTGCTATAAGTTAGGAATTCAAATAGAAGTAGAAAAATATTGGAGATTTTTTTTAAGTTAATACGATGGTCATTCTATTTAGATTATATCAGATTAATGTATTATATGTGTGTTAGATGGCAGGAAGTCTATTCAGTGTGGGGCTCTTTTTCTATGGGGCTACATCACAAACTGAACATATTTGATGAGAATCAAAAGTATTTCAGCATAACAAAATTCAACATAATTCTTCATTTCTGTTCTCTTCTGTATGGATATAGTCTGCTATTCATACAGGAGCCAAGGTGGTTGAGGCATATGTGGAAGACTGTAAATTCCTTATGTTGGTTTAAGAAGGGCATGAGTTGGTGTTATTTTTCTTACATATTCTAAGCATTGAAGTTAAGCCCAAAATATATTAAAAACCTTAAATTACCTTTTTCTCAAAAGCAAGATACCGGTCTGTTACTTCCTCTTACCACAGAAAAATATTTTCTACCTTGTTTGGCTCAATAAATTAATGCCAAGTAACTGTAGAAAATGTTGGTATCATCATTGAGTATTTGACGTAAAACTTTGGTTTTTTGCAGGTCGCCATCTGGCTCCAGGACACCCAAAAGATCAAGAAGATCACGATCCAGATCCCCTAAAAAGTCAGGGAAAAAATCCAGGTCTCAGTCCCGTTCTCCTCACAGATCTCACAAGAAGTCAAAGAAAAGCAAACACTGACAATGTTAATATTTTTTTATGATGCTGTCACTTACTGGAAATGCGGTTTTGTTTTTGTGCCTGAACAGTCTGTTAAAAAACAAAAAAAGCATTCCTGATTTTTTTTTTTTTTTTTTTTTTTTTGGTGAATGCACGTGTATACTCATGAGTATCGGCATCTGTAGACCTGTCATTGTTTTATATTGTACAAAATACCTTCATTGTGACTATTCCCCAAATGAAACATTTTTGTGTTTAGAAGTTTCATCAGAAATGTGTGTAACTGATCTGCTGGCAGTAGTGATATTTTGTTTTAGAATGTTGTGACATAGCAGAAATAACTCAATTGTTCCCCCTTTTTGTAGCTTTGACAATTTGAATTAGATTTCAAATAAAATCTGAACAGAAAATTAAGATGTTGTTTTCTTGCCCCACTGGTGATACAGATCTCTAAATGAATTCATAGTTTGTTTGGAAGTACTGTGTATTTCAGACATACTATGGTGCTCAGATCTTTCAGTATAGTGGTAGCTCTGTTCTGTTTTCTCTGGTTTGACTATCCTTTTGAATCCAGTGGATAGGTTTTCTTTCAACCATGATATTTTACTGTAAGAACAGTTGAACAGTCTGGTACCTACTGTGATAAGCTTTACAAGTAAACCTTTGCTTCTTATTTCTCCACTTTAATTGCAGGGAGTATTTATGACACCAGAGTAATGGTTTTGTTTGTTTTTTAAAAAGGGCCTCTGCAGCGATGGATGCATCATGTGTATGTATATCATATATATATATTTATATATGATGTATCAATAACAAGCCATATTCATGGCATGCATGGGCAACAGTAAAAGGACAGCAATCTTGAGGCTGTGTGACTTCTTCCTTAAGTATAGGTACAATAATTGCAACCTACAGTACACTATTGTTTTCTAAAACTGATTTTAAGGACAGCTTTTACATGATTTCATTGAATTTATTCATTTGTTGTGGAAACTCTTCAAAACGGGAAAATTTAAAATTTTTATTACATATTTTATTTATTAGTATTTTGGAATCAAGAGGCTGTTTAACTTTTTTTATGTTAGGCTTTCCCTTCTCCAGACCTGTTCTTTGTGTTAGACATTGATGTGACTTTAAATCACTTCACCTTGCGCTCTTACCATGCAACCTTTCTGTGGGTGGGAAGGGGGAGGGATGAGAAATGGGGGGTTCAATGTTTATACCTGGAGGTATGGGAAGATTGTAATAAAAACATAAAGTTAAAAGGGATCTGGCCTCCTGTGAACTGTTTCTAAAAGCAACAGCTGTACTTAACTACAGGCACAGTGCTGGACGATGGCCTGCTGTTATACTTGTGTATCTACAGGGTTTACATTGTTAGAATTTTGTAAATGTGGTGGGGAAAATCTCAGCATTGTACATGTATATAGCCTAAGAGGCGACACTTTCGGAAGCAGGATCTAAAGTGTCTTTTGAAAAACATGCGTATTTAATTTAAAAAAAACCCTGACATATATTTCTCTGTTTTTTTCCTGATGGGGACTTTGTTATAAGCTTATATAAATTGTTGCAAATGTCAAAATTAAGTGAAGAATTCTCTTTGCTAATGAGAACTTGGAGATGATCTGGAATACTGAAAATATGGAGACTGCATGTGTACTGTAAAGACTTTATTAGAATGAGTATTGAATAGATACATTAATAATGAGAAAAGAATACACCTCATATCTGTTTATATTACATTATAAAGAATCTGTCTTAGAAATATGTAGAGTTTATTTTTTATATTTTTCTTTCTCCTTGTAACATAAGGTGTTTCAGATGTACAGATTCTGGTAGCTAAACTATTAGAAACTAAGTTATTTTTTTTCTTAAATGCTGTGTATTCACACCTGGCACTAGGTAAGGTTTTCTAGAGCAAAAAGTAGGTACTGAAATCATTCAGGGACAGAGAATCCTAACTTTGCAACAGGAAGATCATCACTTCAGATCTGATTAACTACTTTAAAAATATTACTTTTATCTTGTAACTGTTTATAAATGGAGAATTGATAAATGGCAGTGTTCTAGGTGAAGTGAAACTAAAGTGAGCTCGCCACAGGAATAGTCTATCTTCAGAATCAATTGTGTATTTCATTTAATAGCTAAAAATCCTCAGGGTAGAAAATCACTTAGTGTTGTAGGTTAGCAATACTTTTCAATAATTAATTTTTATTTCAGCTTTTATAAAATTCTCATCAGTGATTATAAAAAGCTCAAGCCAAGCGGCTGGAGAGCGAAAGGAGCACACCATTAGACTTTATTTCATAACAGCTTTGCTATGCAATGCATTTTCTCAGTACCTTTATTCTCTAAATGCCATTCTTGTACCTCATGTTCTTTGCTTCATTAGAAGCTACTAGGCTTTAGAAAAGCTGTTTTGTACCTAAATAGTCTTTTAAGAGCAATTAAGAATCTGTATACTTAACTGGATGCCCGTTTTTCCTCCTGTTGAACATCTTTTGATCCTACTTACTCTTTTCATTTTCTTCCTTTTTTTTATAGTTTTGTCTATAGCTTGGATTTTCTGCAAAGAAAAGTGTGGGGGAGACAGCATCTGGTAAAATATCTTTTGTAAAAGACGCAAATTAATATTGAAGACTGAAAATTAGGCTGCCTGTGAAGTTTATTTTTCCTTAGGTCATATTGCAGTGACAAGGTGTAGTTGCAGTGTGCCACAACAGTGTGACTTGTGTTTCTGCAGCTTTTTGGGGTGAAATGGTGAAAAATCATCTAGTTGATGTAGGATGGGAGTAATTTAAATAGTGATCCTGGGATTCAGAAAGTAGCATTGAGATGAATCCTTGTGGAAGGAAAGCTCTGACCTGAGGAGGTGTGATGCAGTGTTTCCAAATGTTTTTTGTGATTGTACAGGGCGAGCCCATCATCCTCTAACACCCCCCAGTCAGTGAGCGTCCGACCCTTCGCTCTGGGAGAGGGAGGCAGCATGAGTGGGTAGGGGGCTTCTCTGTCCTCTCCTGCCCTGCTTTATGGATGATAACCGAGGTAAATACTCATGCTTTAGGTTTATCCAAAGCAGAGAAACAGAGCGTAGCTTGCTGCAGCTGGGGTCTAGGACAGCTGAGTAACCTCCTTGCAGCCCGAAACAGCAGCTGGTGAGGCCCGTCTTGGTGTGGGATCCAATTAGAAATGGAACATCTACGGTATGTTGCCAGGTGTCTACTAGAGATTGTTGTGCTGGTACATTTTGGTAAAGCCTCCCCAGTGCTCTGTAGGGCATTCAGATATTTATGCGAAGGCCTTCTAGGTACAGAGTTGCAAGTTCATCTCTGGTTTTTCTAAACCAGTCCTGACAGAATTCTGTCAGTGTCTCTCTAAGCCTCAGACTCTCCTGCTCTGAGCATGTGGGCCCTTTTTTCAGTGGAAAAAAGCTACTTGGTTGCATAGAGTCTTCTTCTGACAATTAAAATCTTTCCTTACCAGTGTTAGAGAAGTGTTTATATTTGAACTGCCTTTTTTAAACACTGACTTCCTTTGACTGCTCTGCACACCAGCTGTATATAATGCTATTTGAGGAAGAGTTGGTTTCTGAAAGTCAAAGTGAAGTTACTATTTGGGCCCCAGACACCATGCATGTGTTCTCCCCCTACTCCCCCCTTGGAGGTTTTGAAGTGTAAGAATAAACCACTTATGAACAAGAGTAAAAAATTATATTTTCCAAAGCATATATTTAGAATCGCAACTATCACTAATGTGAGTTGATTTGTCCCAGTGACACCAAATGTACTCCTGCTTTCTGCATTGACCAGTCCCCTTCAGTACTAATATAGCAGCTCCACCTAAGCACATGTGAACCCTTTAAAGTTGCTAGATTATTGTGTTTTTCTGTGTATAAAACTACTCCCATGTTTTTTCAGTTGTGAACTTATGTCTATCCCCACCATTGAGATACCTCTCAAATTTGTACTGGTTTTATTTAATAAATTTTCCGAGGAAGATTTTGTAGCTGAAACTGTGTAAAAAATTGTATAAGACCTCCACTCTGGCACGAGTACTGCCCGAGACATCTACGTTATGAAGCACTAAAATGGGAAATCCAGTTTTATCCTTAGGAGGTTCTTAGGGATCAACCAGTGTTTGAGGTGTGTTCTTGGCATGCTGAAAAGAAAATAGTGCTGTCTCTGAGTTGGGCCTGTAAGAGGAAGGTATCTTGAAGGAGTCCATGTAACATGACTTAAAAACTAGAATCTTCTGATGAGAAAAGCAAAATTGGACAAAAATGGCACATCTGTTCTGAGCATCTTTGATGACTTTAGGCAGCTCGCTTGAGGGTTTTTCCTCCACAGACATTTGCAATTCTTCGGTGGAATTAATGCTTTTAATAAATAAAGGTTAGAAGCAGATGGATTAAGGTCTGAGCTTTGTACCCAGTTTTAGATTCCTGGCTTGCTGTATTCTCATATGGCTGCTTGAAGAATTCGGGGTGAGAAGTTTCTCAACTATTGTGGGTCTACACTGAATCCTTATGTAAGGACACATATATTTGGCTGCATTGCAGTAGTTTTGAAAGATATTTTAATTGCTGCCTTTTTAGTAAAGATTGGTCTACTTTCTGTGCATTTTCTTTGTTGAAAAATCCATATTTTGGGGCAGTTATGAAGGTCCAACAAGAGAAGTGAATTCCTACAGCTGAATACAGTAGCAGTGCAATAATCTAGATAACAATGTTTACAGTTCAACTGTTCAGGATAATGAGATTTATCAAATTACAAGCTTGATATTAGCAGTCAAACCCTGAAAGTTATCTCAGAGTTTACTTTTCTGAATAAGGCGGCTGAGTTCATAAACATATTCGAACAACTCATAGTATTTGAAAATTGCCTTTTGTTGTCATTGCTTCATGAGCTATTGCAAGACCTTCAGTATACCACTGGTTCATGCCACTGCTGTCACTGCTGCTCCTCAGTAAAGCCACTCTTGTAAGAATCATAACTAAAATGCTCATTTAATTTTATCCACCTGTATTTTTCCCATGTAGGATGTAAAAGTCTTAAACAATTGCATATGATTTTTTTCCTCTACCTGCTCCTGTCAGCACAGTCAGTTTTCATGGGCAAGCCTGTTTCATTTGTCACTTCTGATGTCTAATCTTGTGCAGGGATGATTTACTGTGTAACTGTCATAAGCTGGAAAGTTTTCTGTTTGTGGTTATTTAAAGAAGAAATGGTACTTTTTTGTCTGACTTGCTTTTGGTTTTGTATTTTACGCAGAAAATTTTCCAAATGACATGGCGACAATAAAATTGTCAGTTTGCTGATATCCAGAAATGGTTTTATTTTTACCCTGGAAAAGAGCGATGTTTGTGTGTGTTATGCTAAGGGCAGTTTCCTGGCCTTGACAGATCTTCTGGTTGA